GGGCCTCTCGAGTGAGGCGCTCGCGTGCCTGCCCGTGCCGCTCGGCGAACCGCCGAGCCAATCGAACGCCGTCGGCGGCGCTTCAGACCCCCCCCCGATCCACAACTCCACTAGGTAAGGAGGAGGAGGAGGAGGAGGATGAGGAGGAGGAGGAGGAGGAGGAGGAGACGAAGGATGAGGAGGATGATGATGAGGATGAGGACGCGGATGCGGAGGAGGAGGAGGCGGAGGAGGAGGAGGGGGGGAGGAGGAGGCAGAGGAGGCGGAGGGGGGCGATGCTGACGAGGAGGGCGAGGGGAACCATAATGAGGATGATGAGGGATGAGGGCGATGATGGGGGGGGCAATGGGCATGCACGGTGAGGAGGAGGATGGCAGGATGACGAGGATAAGCGGGTGAAGAAGATGATGGGGAGGAGGAGGGGGAGAAAGCAGATGCCCATCCCCTCCAATTTGATCCACCCTCGTGCCAGCCGCCGACTGCTCACTAGGGAACGTGCTGCGCGGGAAGGCGCAGCGCGGGTGCCGCTGCACCGCGCAGGGCATCCGCTCCTCCCGTCTGTTGTTATGGTCATGTTCTCTCTCTCTCTCTCTCTCTCTCTATCTCTCTTTCTTTCTCTCTCTCCCCTCTCTCTCTCTCTCTGTCTCGCTCTCTCTCTCTCTCTCTCTCTCTCTCTCTCTCTCTCTCTCTCTCTCTCTCTCTCTCTCTCTCTCTCTCCTCTCTCTCCTCTCCCTCTCCCTCTCTCCCTCTCGCTCTCCCTCCCCCCACCGCCCCTCCCTCCTCATCGCCCCCTCTCCACCTCTCTCTCTCTCTCTCTCGCGTAATCCCTCTCTCTCTCGCCCTCGCCCTCTCCCATTCCATCTCCCTCGCGTTATGTTCGTCTTCTCCCGTGCGCTCCCTCGCTCTCTCTCTCTCTCTCTCTCTCTCTCTCTCTCTCTCTCTCTCTCTCTCTCTCTCTCTCTCTCTCTCTATATACACATACATAGGCCACTCTCCCTCCCCCTCTGTGTAGCTGTCCCTCTCCCCTCTCCCTCTGTGCAGCTCTCCCTCTCCCCTCTCTCTATCGTGTTCATGTGCCCTATCTCTCTTGTGTGGTGTTGGTTGTTTGTTTTTAGCTCTCGCGCTCTCCCACTCTCGCGCTGAGTGCGTGGCGCAAGTCTCGCAGCGAGAGTCTCGCATGTGCAGTCTCTCCCGCTTGCTCTCCTGGTGGGCCCCACCCCCTAGAAGCCAGAAGCCCTCGGCCTCCACGAGGCCCCCGTTCAGAGCCGCGGTCGGGCGGTTCGTGTGAGGGGGATGTGGGGTGCGAGGATGTGGAGGAGGAGGGCGCGGAGGAGGGCGCGGAGGAGGAGGGGGAGGAGGAGGAGGAGGAGGAGGCGGAGGAGGAGGAGGAGAAAGGCCAGGAGGTGGCGGCGGACGAGCAAAGCGTTTGGGGGAGGGGGTGAGGGGAGCGATGAGGCATTTGAGGCATGACAACCGCTCCGTCGCACCCCAACTTCCCTGTCCCCCTCGCGTCCACTCCTCTCTTTTGCCGCTCGCCCCGTGGCGGTGAACACGGGGCGCGCCATGCACACAGCGCCTGGAGCGCATGCGCTTGAGCACTCGGTGAAATAGCGATGACAAGGCAGGGTCCCCGACGATGGCGCGGAGTTATTCGTGCTTCGCGCTTCGGCTCGGTCCCGTTCGGCCCGCCTCCCCCTGGTTGCCTCCATGTGAGGCTGCGCGAGAGCGCGAAGTTATTTTGCGCGTCGCGCTCCGCGGAACGCGAAGCGTGACGTTCGGAGCCCTTGCGGCGATGTGTTCGGGTGAGGGGGGAGAGGGGGAGAGACGACGCCACCGCCACCAGGGGTGCCACGACCAACGATGAGGTCCGCGATGCAACCCGAGCTGGGGAGCGGTGGTGTCTCGAGCGGGATGGGCATACCGTGCCTGCAGCCACGGCAAGGGCCCTGGCTCCCCCCTGGTGGCGCTGGCGCCGCTTCCATCGAGGCCCCCCGCCTCAGATCGTTCCTGGTGGTCCAACGTTAACCGCCAGGCGCCTTCCGATCTCCGCCCGCGACCTCCGATCTCCATCGGTGCCCTCCGATCCCCGTCGGCGCCAAGCCCCACCCCAAGCCGAGTCTAGAGCCGAGGGGTCGAGAACTCGGGCCAGCTGGCACATTCGCTCGTCAGGCTGGGGGTGCACGAACGGCCTCGCGTGTTCCTTGATTAGGCGTGCGTGGCCGTGTTGGGTGGGCCCTGGGCGGGGTCGCCAGCGCTCGGCGGGGGGGCCCTCCGCGGGCGGTGGGGGGTTTAGGGCCCTGGTCGGGCGTTCTTAGGCGGTAATGCGTGGGTGGGTGTGCGGGGGAAGGGGGTGGGGATGAGGGGGGGGGGGGGTGATGTGGTGGTGCTTGGGTTGGTGGTCGTGGGCGGCGGTGGGTGGCTTGGGCGGGCGTCCTGGGCGAACGCGTTCTCGCGTTCGCGAGCGCGCCGAACCATCGCCATTCGCATCCGCAACTGCTGGGGACTACTCATCATGCGTGGTGTTGTAGCTTGGTTGCGGTGTATCCAGGGCTGCGCTAGCCCCCGAGCCTCGAGCCTCGAGCTGCCTGTCACGCCCCGACCCCATGTCCGCAAACGCGCCCGACCCCATGTCCGCCCCTTGCGCGCCCGCTCTCGCGGCCCCGCCCGCAGACCCGCAGAGGCGCGCTGCCACGGTGGCCGCGGCGCAGGTTTGTGAGGATAGAAGAGGGGGAGGGGGAGCGCACTGAGGAGTGAGGTGGGGGAGAAGAGGGATGAAAGGGGGGATGATGAGGAGAAGAGGGGGGCGACCCCGCACCCACACCCGCCGCAATCGCACCGAGATAACGAGAGCCCCTCGGGGCTTTAGCGTTGGGCCCTCCTAGAGCCCCAACGGAGGAGTCCCGCGAGGCTCTCGCTCGGGGTGGCGATCGGGGCGGGGTGGCGGCGGGGTCGCCCTCCCCAGTTGACGTGGGCCGTCAACCAGATCCACGATCTCGTCGAAAAGACCGACGCCCTCGCTCAGAAGGCCCGCGGGCGTCAAGGGCCCCGACGAGTGAGCGAAGTGTTTCGCGCTTCGCGGTTCGGCCCCACCCCCCCTCCCAACCCTCATTGTTTGTTGTGATGGGGGGTTGGCGCGAGAGCGCGAAGAGCTTCGCGCTTCGCTCAGAAGCGTGAGTTCGGGGCCCTCGAGGTCGTGTCCCTCGAAGAAGAAGTTGCCACGCTGAAGAGACAGCTGGGCGGGCCTGGCGCAGAGCTCGCGGGCGGCCGCGATGGGTTGTCGGGGGGACGGGAAGCGCCGCCAACACCACCAGGGAGGCCGCCTCAGACGATGTGGTCCAACCACTATGCCCTCCCCGAGCTGGGGATTGGTGATGTCTAGAGCGGGATGGGGGGGCACGCCGCCAGGGAGAACCCCTTTCCCCCCTCCATGCCCCCCTGCATCTCCTCGCCCTGGTGGTGTTGGCGTCGCGTGTCCTCGATCCTAGGCTGGAAGAGTGGAACCGCCAGAACAAGGCCAGACTCGAGGCGGCCCAGGCGGCTAGCCGTGGTGGCGACCTGAAGGTCGGCGGCGTTCCGAGGGGGAAATGAAAAAGGGGGCGGGCCTTCTCAAGGCGGCGGTGCTTCTCGGAGGCCCTCCAGCCTCCTGAGAAGCCTTCTGCGTTTTCGGACACGGCTTGGATAATCTCTCACACGGTATTTGTATGTTGAAGGCCCGCCCTTTTTCATTGCCCCCTCTGAGCTCTCCGCCAAAAAAGGGCCTAGACTCGGACGAGGAGTCCGAGGGGGAGGCCCAGGGGGAGGCCGAGGAGGAGGCCGAGGAGGAGGCCCAGGAGGAGAAGAAGGACGAGAAGGAGGCACCGAGAGCGGAGTCCGAGTCGGATTGAGGCGGGGCGGGCGCGCTCGGAGGCGGGGCCAGGCGGGGCGCGGAGAAGCGCTGCGTTCGCGAGCGCCCAAGCTCTCCCTCCCCGCCCCTTCTCCGCCGCCGCCCCCTGCTCCCTCCTCCCCGCGGCCTCGGGGGCAAGGATAGGGAAGGGGCTGCGGCTTCCGAGGAGAAGGAGGAGTCAGGAGGAGGTTCTGGCGCGAACCAAGGGCTCATTTCACCCGAGAGTTAGGGGATGTAGGTTTATCATACGAAACCCAGAACCTTTTGAAGACCAGTGGCTTTAACAGCTCGGAGATCCATGCCGCAGGTCAGAGCTCCTTCGTGAAGCTTGCGCACGTCTGCAGGTGCGGCTGCATGATAACCAGGCTGACCACATGCTCTCCATTAACAACACCTTGACGGTCATGAATACGTCTGCCTCTGGCACAATCCGCCCGACCCAAGAGAAACCTTTTACCCAAGCCAAGGGCCCCGAGAAAGAATCATATCCATCAACAATTCCTGGACGAGCGAGCGCAGACAACAACTGCAACACATCCACTGCGGTTTCGCATCCTTTTGGCGCGCGCTAGGGAATCAATTTTCCGGCGCCGGCCGGCGCCGGAACCGGCCCAGGCTGCCGTGCTCCTGTGTGGTCAGCCGTGCTCCTGAGGCGTCTACGGTGTTCTTTTGGGGTCTGCCGTACTCATTTGGGGTCTGCCGTGCTCCTGTGTGGTCTGCCGTGCTCCTTTGTGGTCTGCCGTGCTCCTGTGGAGTCTGCCGTGCTCCTGTGTGGTCTGCCGTGCTCTTGTGGTCTGCCGTGCTCATTTGGGATTTGCCGTGCTCATGTGGGGTCTGCCGTACTCCTGTGTGGTCTGCCGTGCTCCGGTGGTCTGCCGTGCTCCTTTGGGGTCTGCCTTGCTACTGTGGGGTCTGCCGTGCTCCTGTGTGGTCTGCCGTGCTCCTGTGGTTTGCCTTGCTCCTGTGTGGTCTGCCGTGCTCCTTTTGGGTCTGCTCTGCCGTGCTCCTGTGGGGTCTGCCGTGCTCCTGTGGGGTCTGCCGTGCTCTTGTGGGGTCTGCCGTGCTCTTGTGTGGTCTGCCGTGCTCCTTTGTGGTCTGCCGTGCTCCTGTGTGGTCTGCCGTGCTCCTGTGTGGCCTGCCGTGCTCTTGTGTGTCGTGTCGTGTCGTGCGGGGCCTATGAAGGCTAAAAGAAGCCCGAGGCCCACGGAGCCCATTGGCCCCAGGGCCTCAAGGGCCAACCCTGGGGGCCCGAAAGGGGCCACCGCAGGGGGGCGCGGAGCGCCAGACGCCCGCCAGGGCCAACGGGGGCGCCTAGGCCCCAGGGCCACGAGGGCGGGCAGTGCCGAGAGGCATCAGAAGCAGCGAAGCTGCACAGAAGAGCTCACGTACACATTCAACTACAAGAAATGCGAATGCACGGAGCAAACGGAATTAGCGTCCGCACGCAAGGTAAGCAGCAGAAACGGAAAGCAACTGCTTGCCTCAAACAGGGCCCCCAACCAGCCCACGCCAACCATGCAAGCACTGCGAGAGCAGAGGCCACGCATGATCACAACCGAACTCGACTGCATTGCAAATACACCACGTGCACATTCAAATGCAGGAGACGTAACCCACTGAACAACCACAGCCCCCCACCTCCAATGGAGAACAGACGTGCAAGGCGAACCATCACACAGAAGGCATTCCGAACACGCAGGGAAATCACGTCTCACCAAGAGGACTAACCACGCTGCTCCAGTCACTCCTCGAATCCAAGCCTGGAGGCAGCGGCGCCCCTCCTGCAGCACCTCCAACGCTCGCTCCTTCATCCGAGGGCGCCTGCACCGTCGCGGCATCCGCTGTGAGCCAAGCGCGGGCGACGGCCGCCCTCGCACGCCACCAATCACGAGCCGCGACCTCGCCACGAGCCCTGGCGCCGCCGCCCCCACGGAAGAGGGCCTGCGGGAAGGCGTCGACGTACGCGGCGGCGGCGGCAGCAACATGTCCAGCAGCTTCGGCAGCTGGCTGCTCCCCAACCGAGCAAGCGGTGGCCACGTCGGCCTCGCCGTCGAGGATCACGCCGTCGGAGTCGGAGCATTCGCCAGCAGCGCGCGGCGGCGCCGCCGTAGCGCCCGCGGCCTGCACGAAGTCCACCTCGCAGTCAACCTCCGACACCCCAGGGAAGAGAGGGGAAGGCACGTAGCAATCGCCGATGCGGGCGCCACGCCCAACGCGGGCGCGCCCAGCCAGCTCGAACTCCATGTTAAGTTGCTGCCGCGCCTCGTCGCACTCACCGACGTCGACCTGGGCCTGCATCACCTGGGCACCGCCGCCGCCGGCAACGGGGTCAACCCCAGCTGGGGCGAAGGGCCTCGCAGCCGACCGCAACGCCGTGCTCTTGTGTGGTCTGCCGTGCTCCTGTTGGTCTGCCGTGCTCTTCTGTGGTCTGCCGTGCTCCTATGGGGTCTGCCGTTGTTCGGCCGTCTTGAGGGCACTCTTAGGGCATAGTCTGCCGTGCTCCTCGTCTTGGTCTGCCGTGCTCCTCGTCTTGGTCATCCTTTCCGTCGTCTTGAGGGCGCTCTTGGTGCCTGGTCTGCCGTGCTCCTCGTCTTGGTCTGCCGTGCTCCTCTCGGTTCCTAAGCCTGGTCTGCCGTGCTCCTCGTCTTGGTCTGCCGTGCTCCTCTCGGTTCCTACGCGCGGTCTGCCGTGCTCCTGTGGGGAGCACGGCAGACCACAGGAGCACGGCAGACCACACAGGAGCACGGCAGACCACACCTCGATTTTTTGAGGATGTCTCGAGCGAAATGGCCGTGGTCTGCCGTGCTCCACACAGGAGCACGGCAGACCACCTGCTCATTTTCTGAGGACGTCCCGAGCGAAAACGTCATTTTTACATAAGAGGTTCTAAAACACCTCTGTCGGCATCTCATTTTTTCGAGGATGTCTCGAGCGAAACGCTCATTTTTCATGCATAACAAAAATTTTTGATATTTTTCAACATCCCGATTTTTTGAGGATGTCTCGAGCGAAACCGTCATTTTTAACATAAGACGTCTTAAACGATAGCCTCCAACACCTCGATTTTTCGAGGATGTCTCGAGCGAAATGGCCATTTTGGGGAACCTGACCGGACAAGAACGGGAAGCGCCGTTTTTTATCCACCACGTGCGTCAGAGACCGTATTGGCGAGAACGTCAGAGAAACCCATAAACGCAACAGAACAGACTAAATGGTGGCCTGCCGCGCTGGTCTGTCGAGGTAGTCTGCTGCCCTGGCCACATCATGGTGTCGACACCGTGCTTTTCTCTCGGCCACGCGGGCCCCCACCCGTTGTCGCCCAGCCTACTTTTTCTGTTCCAGCCTGTCTTGTCTTTTGTTTGTCCGTCGTCGTCGTCGCGTGCCTTTCCTTTGTCGTGGTCGTCGTTTTCATTATAATCGTCCGCTGTTGCCGTTCTCGCTGTCGCCGTCGTTATCATTTTATGATTGCGGTCGTTTTTCTGATTGTTTTTTTGTTGTTGGATTCCGTGTTCGGTTGGTTTTTGTGTTATGTTTGTGGTCGTTTTCTGTCATCGTTTTTTGTCGTAATTTTCGAGATCGTTATTGACGAAGACGACGACGACGATGACGACGACGACGATCTGCCGTGCTTCTGTGGCGTCTGCGGTGTTCCTGTGGTCTGCCGTGCTCCTTCTTGGTTTGCCGTGCTCCTGTGTGGTCTGCCGTGCTCCTGTGCGGTCTTCCGTGCTCCTGTGGTCTGCCGTGCTCCTTTGGGGTCTGCCGTGCTCCTGTGGAGTTTGCCGTGCGAACGTGTGGTCTGCCGTGCTCCTGTGTGGTCTGGCGTGCTCCTGTATGGTCTGCCGTGCTCTTGTGTGGTTTGCCGTGCTCCTGTGTGGTCTGCCGTGCTCCCGTGGGGTCTGCCGTGTCCTGTGTGGTCTGCCGTGCTCCTGTGTGGTCTGCCGTGCTCCTGTGTGGTCTGCCGTGCTCCTTCTTGGTCTGCCGTGTTCATGTGCGGTCTGCCGTGCTCCTGTGCGGTCTGCCGTGCGAACGTGTGGACTGCCGTGCTCATTTGGGGTCTGCCTTGCTCCTTTGTGGTTTGCCGCGCTCCTGTGTGGTCTGCCGTGCTCCTGTGTGGTCAGCAGACCCAGGGCTGAGGGAAGGCTGGAGCAGTGCTCTGGTGGTCCTTCACCCGCCCAGCTCCGTCCCCTCCCACTCTGGACCGATCTTGCGGGAAGCTGGCTTGTGGCAGCGCATCGCGCGTCGGCCGCCAGCCCAGGTGCCGGCCCGGGCGTTCGGTTCGAGCGCCGGCCTGGGTGCCGGAATCGGCCCGGAAGGGGTTCCAGGGCGCCGGGAGCAGAAAATCAATATTTTCGAAAGAAAAATATGTCTTGGAGTGGCCTTTTTTCCGCACCGCCTCGGAATTCAATTTTCCGGCGCCGGCCGGCGCCGGAACCGGCCCGGGCGCTGGCCCGGGTGCTGGCCCACTTCGCGGAATCTCGTGTTAGGCAATGTATAAATCGGATTACACGTACTTATAACTAAGTTGCGGAGTGATTTAGCAACATCATATATAACTTTGTTGTAAGTTGTTATAATCGCACAACTAGACAGCTAACTTTTCATAACTTTTCATAACTTTTCATAACTTTTTCATAACTTTTCATAACTTTTCATAACTTTTCATAACTTTTCATAACTTTTCATCACTTTTTTCAACTTTTTCATAATTTACATATGACCCGTTTCGAACGACCCGCGGGAGGAGGAGGAGGAGGAGGAGGAGGAGGAGGAGGAGGAGGAGGAAAGGAGGAGGGGGGAGGAGGAGGAGAGGAGGAGAAGAGGAGGCGAAGGAGGAGGAGGAGGAGGAGAAAGGAGGAGGAGGAGGAGGAGGAGGAGGAGGAGGAGGAGCGGGAGGCAGAGGAGGGTGAGACAGCTTCCCAGGAACCGCCAGTGCGGACCCGTGGTTGCTGTTCTGCCACGTTCCTCCCCAGATGGGCGTTCCGCTTGAGACACACCGAACAAAATGGATGTCGACAGAATTGGTTCCAAGGCGACTCGTGCTACCCCTGAGGCTCTCGCTCGAGACATCATCCAGACAATGAGATGTTGAAATGGGTCCCCTTTTGAATCCCCCTCCTCCTCCTCCTGCTCTTCCTCCTCCTCCTCCTCCTCCCCCTCCTCCTCCTTCTCCTTCGTTTTTGGCGGGGCGTGAACGTTGTCCAGATTCCTGCGACGTCCCCCTCCTCCTCCTCCTCCTCCTCCTCCTCTTCATCCTCCTCCTCCTCTTCCTCCTCCTGCTCCTCCTAATCCTCTCCCTCCTGCTCCTCCTTTTCAAATCCTCCTCGCGGCTGGGAGTCCTAGGCGGTCCGAGGCGGCCAGGCGGGCGGGAGCACAGAGTCGTCGTCGTCGTCGTCGTCGTCCTCCTCCTCCTCCTCCTCCTCCTCCTCCTCCTCCTCCTCCTCGTCGTTCGTCCTCGTTCGTCCTCGTTCGTCGTCATCGCGCGCCCAACTCGCCCTCGGACGCGCGCCGCGCGTCTGAGGGCGTCGATTCGTCTGAGCCCGACTGGCCGACGCAGTGGGCTCGGCGTCGTCGTCGTCGTCGTCGTCGTCGTCGTCGTCGCAGTGCAGGCTCAGTGGAGCCGCCTGCTTCGTCGTCGTCGTCGTCGGCGTCGTCGTCATCGTCGCAGCGCAGGCTCGCCGCTTGCTTCGTCGTCGTCGTCGTCGACGTCGTCGAAAACAAGGGCGAGGGGGAGTAGGGCGGGGGGATGACGAGGGGAGGGGGGTGGAGGAGAATGAGGAGGAGGAGGAGGAGGAGGAGGAGGAGGAGGGGGTGGATGATGATGCTGATGCTGATGCTGATGATGATGTTGATGATGATGATGATGTTGATGCTGATGATGATGATGATGGTGATGATGATGATGATGATGATGATGATGATGATGATGATGATGATGATGATGATGAAGTTGATGCTGATGATGATGATGACGATGACGATGAATGTGGTGAGGATGAAAGGAGGAAGGAATGATGAGAGATATGCTGATGATGAATATGATGATGATGATGAGATATATGATGATGATGATGATGATGATGATGATGATGATGATGATGATGATGATGATTAGATGATGATGATGATGATGATGATGATGATGATGATGATGATGATGATGATGATGATGATGATGATGATGATGATGATGATGATGATGATGATGGTGAGGAGGAGGAGGAAGAAGAAGAAGAAGCACGCCGAGGCGGACCAGTCACGTGACTAACGACTCGGCCCAGCAGGGCGGCGCTCGGGCTCAGCCTAGCCCATTACCGCTTGCGCCACCTGCTGGGCCCTCCAGTGCCCGAGCCAGCTCCCGCTGGCGCACTCTCTCCTGGAGTGCCGCCAGCCGTGATTCGTACTGATACGAAGAGGCTGGGTTGGGCCTCGCGGAGACACTGTGGGCCTCTCGAGGGGACCTCCTGGTTGGGCCTCTCGGGCTTAGGTTGCTAGGTGCGTGCGAAGCGAGCGATGGCCGCCTCGCCCGATAGGTGCGAGTGTGTGTGTATATGTGTGTGCGTGTGTGTGCGTGTGTGTGTGTGTGTGTGTGTGGTCGAATGGTGGTGGTGAACGGTGCGAGTGTGGTCGGAGTGGTCGAGTGGTGAAGTGCGTGCGTGTGTGTGTGGGTGTGTGTGTGTGGTGCGAGTGTGGTCGAGTGGTGATGTGAACCAACACATATATATATATATATATGTATACGCACGTAGGCCAATACTTCTGCACCGATTGCCCGTCTACCACACGAGACGCATCTATACATAGCGTAGAAGGTAATTCCAGTGGTGCTCTCCGTTGGTGCCTCGAAGGTAGCTCCAGTGGTGCTCCCCGCGGGTGTCTGGAAGCTTGTGGCAGCACGCGTGGCACGGATAATTTATATATATATATATATATATATATATATATATATATACACATGTGCGAGTGTGTGTGCGTGTGTGTGCGCCATGCGTGTGTGCGTGCGTGTGTATGCGCGTGTGTGTGTGTGTGTGTGTGTGTGCGTGTGCGTGCGCGTGTTCGGGGGCCACCCGCAGCAGTCTCGGAGGGGTCCGAGGGCATCGGTTGGGGCCCCTGGACGGCTCCATGGGATACCCCCAATGTCCCTACTGACGGTCGCGGGCGCGCGGGGAGTTGGTGATTGGCACCCCTTGGAGCCCTCTTTGGGCCATCCTCCTCCCCCCCCATCCTCCCCCTCCTCCTCCTCCTCCTCCTCCTCCTCCTCCTCCCTCTCCTCCTCCTCCTCCTCCTCCTCCCCCTCCCACCTCCCCTCTCCTCCTCCCCCTCCTCAATCCTCATCCCTCATCTTGAAATCTTCTCCTCCTTCTCCACCTCCGTTCCTCCTCCTCTCCCTCCTCCTCTTCCTCCTCACCCCCTCTCCCCCTCCTCCTCCTCCTCTCCCGCCTCCTCCTCCCTCCTC